CGCGGATAATTATATTTCGTCATCTTGGTTTGCCGTTCATTTCGTTTAAACATTAAAATGTATCAGTTGAAGTCGTTAAATAACTCTGCAGCTGGGTCGATGATGTGTTCGATGGTGACTGTTCCAGATGAGTGAACTGTAGTTTTCCTTCTCTTTATTTGACAGTTTGCTGGTCGCTCATTCCTGCTCGGCGCGCGGAACAAACGATACTCCCTCTCTCTTGCATATCGCTGACTGACACACATACACACACATACACACACACACACACACACAAACAAACACTCACCCTCGACCTGACAGCTGGTAGTAAACTGTTTAAATAGTTTGATCAAACGGCTTTACAAGAGCAACACAAAAATTGCCCCGTTACCTTATCTGTTTGATCTGATGGCAGTTCACTTTCAAAGAATGTATCGATATTCACTTCAAAGAATGTATCAATATTCTCTTCAAATAACTTGAACACCAAGACTAAAAAAAGTAAATAAAATGTGTTTTGGATTGAACTGCTGCAGTAATTGGAGCCCGCTAGGTAAATGGCCGCATGAATCACGTATTTACTATCTGATGTCACTTGTATCGCGTAGTGGGGCCTGGCAGTTTAACGTGATAAAAGATAACTTCTACCTTGTTATGGTGATCGATGGATCGGTTTCACTCAATCAATCACCTATAGAAAATTGTGCTTGCTTTCTCTATATCTCTCTCTCTCTCTCCCTGTCTCTACCCTCTCTCATCCCCCTCTCTCTCCCTCTCTCTCCCACTCTCTCTCCACCTCTCTCTCCCGCCCTCTCTCTCTCCATCTCTCTGTCCCCCGTCTCTCCCTCTCTCTTCCCTCCCTCTCTTTCTTTCTCCCCCTCTCCGTCCTTTAAAAAAAAATATATAAACAAAACAGAATGCCACACACCCCCCCCCCTACTTTACATCGAAGGATGTCATCGTCGGCCAGCTGCAGATCTTTTGACGTGTAACCCGGGGGAGGGGGACATCTTGGCCCGACCCGGGCGTCACTAAAACTACCTACGCCACCTGCACACCCCCTCCCGCGACAATAAGCAGTACCAGTAGACCAGGCGGTCGGCTAAATGTGCCGAAGCAACAAACAAAATCTTTTAAGAGAAAGGAGAGTATGGAACCGACATTAAAAAATCCATTTTTTCTAAAAATAGTTCCAAGATGTTCATACAGTTGTCTCAAGCAGGCACGGGATATACACGGGGTAGTTGGGCATTGGACCCCGCCCCTACTTCCCCCCCCCACACACACACACAACTGTGTTTGCCTAAAGAGGCCCTGTAACCAAGCCTTAAAGATTTATGCATACCATTGTCTGCTTTTCAAGGGTAATGCAACCGAAACTACTCCTGAAATTTGTAATTTTTGATATCTTAAAAGTCTCAATTGACTCCAATAATATAACAATTGAAAACTCAACAGAGTTATCATTCCAAATTGTTTAAACAACACTAGAGAAACAACACGCATCACTGGCAATGACATTTAAAAAAGTACACGCAAAGACTATGAGAAAAAACAACTGACTTTAATGTTAAAACCCTGGTTGAGTGCTTAATTGCTTTTTGGTTCCGAACAGAATTATCTGATCTATCACGTGCTTTTCTGCCTAACATGGTGGCCATGTGTTGACGAGGTTAATCATTGGCGTGAGTTTAGCTTTTAGAACCAGGGGGCGTGGGGGAGGGGGTGTGGGGGAAAGGGGGGCGTGGAGTAAGGGGGCCGATGTTTTGAAAATAGGCAGGGGTTTTTTTTTCAATAAAAAAAAACATGGGATAATAGAAACTATAAGAGATAGATATTAAGAGATGGATACTAAGGTAGAGTATCTATCTCGTATAGTATCTTTCTCTTATAGTATCTATCTCCTATAGTATCTATCTCTTAAAGTATATATCTTAGTATCCATCCTGTAAAAGTATATATTTCTTATAGTATATATTTCATAGATGGATACTAAGGTGTATATACTATAAGAGATAGATACTATAAGAGATAGATACTATAAGAGATAGATACTATAAGAGATAGATACTAAGAGATCTGTGTGTCTCAGTGATTATTTAAGAAGTGTGGGGGTGAATGGAAATGGGTTGAGAACGGAAACACAAAGTTCTTCATGAAATAGTTTTGCTGTAGTAACACACCGCACGTCCCGCGGGTTCCAGATTCGTTTCGTAGGTGTAGCCAGACCCGTGGGTTCCAGAGTCGTTCCGTAGGTGTAGCCAGACCCGTGGGTTCCAGAGTCATTCCGAAGGTGTAGCCAGACCCGTGGGTTCCAGAGTCATTCCGAAGGTGTAGCCAGACCAGTGGGTTCCAGAGTCGTTCCGAAGGTGTATATAGTAAGACACTGCACGTCTAGTGGGTGCCAGACTCGTTCCGAAGGTGTAGTAAGACACTGCACGTCTAGTGGGTGCCAGACTCGTTCCGAAGGTGTAGTAAGACACTGCACGTCTAGTGGGTGCCAGACTCGTTCCAAAGGTGTTGTAAGACACTGCACGTCTAGTGGGTGCCAGACTCGTTCCGAAGGTGTAGTAAGACACTGCACGTCTAGTGGATTCCACTTGGATGGATGTGAACCATCCTCAACTCGGACAAAGAGTTTTTTTTAACTATGAAAAAAACGCCTCTTCTTTTAAGATCATTTTCCCGTATTACTTACACAAGAAATGTAGCTGGCTAATCTGCTTACTCTACTATCCTCGTGTATTAAATGATACATCTTAAGCGTATAAAAATAGCTTTCTCGAGCGCGTTATGGGCGCAATTTTAGTTTATATATGTCCTAAGAACGCCCCTGCCGTATTCAACTTTCTGAAAATGTCCACATTGACTAGTCGTTGGGACCTAAAGATACTGAGTTCAACTAACATGTGACTTCTCAATCAAAGTTAATAAATTAGATTCGTGTCTGAACTATTGAAAAACTTCGACAAGATCCACCACAGTGTAGATTCAAGAGTGAATCATGTCCCTACCAATTCAGGGGTAAAAGGGCTTCGTAGAGGGCGTCAAAATGAATAATCCCGGGGGGAGAGCGTCCCACATTTTAGCTACACCACTGCCTGCCAACCGCACTATTAATCTACAACTCCACGTGATAACACAATAATGGTGGAACTAATTTTTTAATTTTTTTTTTATAGTGAATGAGAGTGAGGAAAAGAGGGGGGGGGGGGGCGGGTTTAAAAGGTGGTGGACTTCAATGAGCTTTTCTGCCAATAAAATGACGAAACTGCAAGGGGATGCAACTCAAAACTGAGTACAGGGAGGTAATGCGATTTTAGTCGCGTGATTGATCAATGCTGGTTGTCAGGTATGTTGACAAATGGCTGGTGTTACGTTAACACGAGACGAATTAGTCATCTTATGGACATTCATGATTACATTGATCGATGTCTGTTGATTTGTGTGACATAAAACACCGGGTGGGGAAAACAATGGGATGGAATATTGTAGAATGAATGATTGAATATTGTAGAATGAATGATTGAATATTGTAGAATGAATGATTGAATATTGCAGAATGAATGATGGAATATTGCAGAATGAATGATTGAATATTGTAGAATGAATGATTGAATATTGTAGAATGAATGATTGAATATTGTAGAATGAATGATTGAATATTGTAGAATGAATGATTGAGTATTGCAGAATGAATGATGGAATATTGCAGAATGAATGATTGAATATTGTAGAATGAATGATGGAATATTGCAGAATGAATGATTGAATATTGTAGAATGAATGATGGAATATTGCAGAATGAATGATTGAATATTGTAGAATGATTGATGGAATATTGCAGAATGAATGATTGAATATTGTAGAATGAATGATGGAATATTGCAGAATGAATGATGGAATATTGCAGAATGAATGATTGAATATTGTAGAATGAATGATGGAATATTGTAGAATGAATGATGGAATATTGTAGAATGAATGATTGAATATTGTAGAATGAATGATTGAATATTGTAGAATGAATGATGGAATATTGCAGAATGAATGATTGAATATTGTAGAATGAATGATGGAATATTGTAGAATGAATGATTTAATATTGCAGAATGAATGATTGAATATTGTAGAATGAATGATGGAATATTTCAGAATGAATGATTGAATATTGTAGAATGAATGATGGAATATTGCAGAATGAATGATTGAATATTGTAGAATGAATGATGGAATATTGCAGAATGAATGATTGAATATTGTAGAATGAATGATGGAATATTGTAGAATGAATGATTGAATATTGTAGAATGAATGATGGAATATTGTAGAATGAATGATTGAATATTGTAGAATGAATGATGGAATATTGTAGAATGAATGATGGAATATTGTAGAATGAATGATTGAATATTGTAGAATGAATGATTGAATATTGTAGAATGAATGATGGAATATTGCAGAATGAATGATTGAATATTGTAGAATGAATGATTGAATATTGTAGAATGAATGATGGAATATTGTAGAATGAATGATGGAATATTGCAGAATGAATAGAGAAGAATGAATGATGGAATATTGCAGAATGAATAGAGAAGAATGAATGATGGAATAGTGCAGAATGAATAGAGAAGAATGAATGAGGGAATATTGCAGAGTGAATAGAGAAGAATGAATGATGGAATATAGCAGAATGAATGATTGAATATTGTAGAATGAATGATGGAATATTGCAGAATGAATAGAGAAGAATGAATAATGGAATATTGCAGAATGAATGATTGAATATTGTAGAATGAATGATGGAATATTGCAGAATGAATAGAGAAGAATGAATGATGGAATATTGCAGAATGAATGATTGAATATTGTAGAATGAATGATGAAATAATGCAGATGGAATAGAAAATAATGAAATATGGAATATTGAGGAAGTTTATCCAATAAATGAATGTCATCAGTTAAATTGCCTTTGAGTTCAGAATTCTACTGTAAACAGTAATGAAACAACTGCATTTTAATTGTATTAATCAATTATGATCATTTATTTTTTGCACTTAAAAAAATGTAACAATGATTTTTTAAGAAAGAAATTCTAATATGTGTAAGTTTCTATTGGCAATATTAAAATAAGAAGATTGTAAGGAAAAAAAAGAGTATTTTTTACAAAATATATTTATACCTAAGGTGAGTATAACTTTTTTTTTATTACATGTGGAAAAATAAATTTCCTGAGCATCACAGAAATGGAACTATGCATTTTATTTTTATTTAAAAAAATTCTCTTTGAACTGTTTATATGGTTTTTGAGAAAAATTGCCTTCAATTTTGGAAGTGAAATCAGATCATTAAGTTAATAGTCTTTTATTTTCTTTAGGCACAAAAAAATATATATATTAAAAAACCCATTGCAGCCAAAGTTAAGTTTACAGTTACTGTTCTTTGTGTTACATATTTCCCCCTAAAAGCTTCATAATGATAAAATATAAATTATTATCAATATAATAACACAAAGTTATCAAACCAAAACTTTTACTTGTTTAAAAAATGGAATTTTAATGCTTTATTAGGTCTATATCTTTCTTTCTTTTTTTTTCACATTTATAACATTCATGTTTAAATGATGTAAATAATTGGCGAAGCAGAAATAATAAATAAATGTGCATGGAAGAATTTGCCAGATGGAATCAAGACATCGGAGCTGCTCCATTAAATGTTATGACAGGAAACTGCCAGAGGTCAGGGTGACCCAAATGGGACATGGACTGGTAGTCAGATTTGCTCCACTGAAATGGAGGGAGGTCATCGTAGGTCGGACTGCTGATGGCCAGGAAGGAGAGTGACTTGAACAACTCTGCACTGGTCAACTAATCAAAATAAAATAACATAAACATGTTTTTTTAATCAACAGATACCATATTTCTAGCCAAGATGTTGCCAAAGTTAAGCTCAAAAACCTTGGGCAACATTGAATACATTGCATAATTTGGCTACAACTGATCAAAACATATCTTAACAATGAAAGGGGCTGACTTCATAATTCCTTGGTATTGACATTTAAAAAAGGGGGGGGGGGGTGTAAGAGAAAACAAAAAGGAAGCAGAAGCTACATTTGATATAGATGTTGATTAACATTTGAGAATTATAAAACATATATAAACAATGAAAGGGGCTAATTTCATAATTCCATGGTATTAAAATTTAAAAAAGGGGGGGGGGTGTAAGAGAAAACAAAAAGGAAGCAGATGCTACATTTGATATAGATGTTGATTAACATTTGAGAATTATATTATGCTGATATGATATTGCTATACAGAATTAGAATTCTGTAATTATCTTAACATAGTCAATCTTAACTCTCTCTGCACATTATCTAAACTATGTCAGACTAAAACTTTGATGAAAATAAAAGTGCACTGAACATTTTCAGTTCCACAAATTTTATCACAAAGAAAAGAAAATGAATTTATAGCTAATAATTATTGGCTCATTTTGGAATTATCTGCTTCTAAAAATAGAACAGTCAATGAGTAATCTCTGTTGCATCTTTAAAGTTAATCAATTTTCTTCCCTCTCATTAGTGAAAGCCTTATAACAGATATAAATTAAATTTGAAATAAGTTGTTGTTCTTCTTCTTCTTTATTTTGAGGGCCCACGATCAATGAATTGATCATTCTGGCTCCTATGTTTCAATATTTTGGAATAAATCTATATAAAAGAAGCTTTAATGTGTGAAAAGCAATGAAATTTCCAATCATGTCTTCAAATGGATATAAATAAAATAAACTTTTTAAAAAAATGACCCACCTTCATATCTGTAGCAATGTGAGGTCTGTGCCCAAGTGCACCAAATGGATACTTCCCATCAATAGGATTAAGGTCATCACGACAGGCTATGGCGTTTTCTGCAGAGTAGGGTGGGGTGCAATTGCAACGGGACAGTGGGTCATTCTGGAAGTTGTTGTACCTGAGGGGAAAAAAAAAATAAAACAATTACGGTACAGAATTGGATAGATGAATTTTTACATTATTAAGATAAGATCAGGTAAGTTAAGTAAGCTTAGCTGTCTCATTGATACATTAATGCCTTCATCTGATATTCATTACTCAATTATTTTATTATGCTTTATAAATAAATGTTTATATCTAACAAGTTTACATCATGTCCCATGCAGAAATAGGAACATAAACATTGGAATTTAAAAAAAAGTACTTAGTCTGATATTAACTGAATTAATATCCAAAAGTATATTTACTTTTGCACTGTGATAACTATAGCATAATTCCAAAGCTTAGAAAAAAACAACACGTTTTTTCACTCATTGGAATACAAAAAAATGCAACTATATCCTGATATTGCATTACAGTATGTAGTGATATTTTAAAGATTATATTAATTTCAGACTGAGCATACACTGATACACACTACCATTTGTCGGTTACCAACCTTAACATTAGAAAACAATGTCATTTAAAAACTAGGATCTTTAAGAACAAACAAGAATACAGAAATGATCTTCTATCAAACAAACCTCATTAATTTTGTCATGGAGTCGAGGTCCTTGACTTTACCCACATCTCTCTTAAATATCAACGCCCGTGGATTCTTGTCGTAGGTGAACCAGTCGCCAAACTGTTTGACTAAAGCTGGCATTCCACTTGCATTGAAAATACTTGGGAAGTATCTGAAGAATATATATATATTAGTTAAAACATTTAGCTGTAAACAATCATGCAAACTGTATACTATAAAATAGTTGTTTTTTAAAAAGATATTCTAGCGCAGTCTTACAACGTGTATTGAAGCTTACTGTTTAACAGTACATCCAACAATTTTTGGAGAGGTACCATACTAAGAAATAATGCCATGGCCAACTTACGCAACATTGTAACTACCAAAATAGCTTTGATTGTAAAGGAGTTCTGTCAAGTCCTGTGAGACAATAGTCCCTCTGTGAATTAAACCAAAAAGAAAAAAATTTACTTTTTCTAAAATAACCTGAATGCAAAACAATACTGGATAAGGGCCCATTTATAAATGGAGTCATGGTAAAGTGACGTTGTGATAAAAAAGTAAAAGTGTTTGATTTGTGTTACTATAACTTTTTGATGATTTGGGGAGGTTGGGGGGGGGGGGGGTCCACAAAACTGACCAAAACAGTGTGATGTCATTTTGGGTGGATGGCCTCTAACTAGTGGTATCTCAAAGGGGAGATAATTTATGTTTTCAGTAATGAAATGATGTCCTAAAATGATTTTTGATGGGTTGGGGGGGGTGGGGGGGGGGGGGTGTCCACAAAACTGACCAAAACAGTGTGATGTCATTTTGGGTGGATGGCCTCTAACTAGTGGTATCTCAAAGGGGAGATAATTTATGTTTTCAGTAATGAAATGATGTCCTAAAATGAAGTTAGGTAATAATGAAAAAAAAACAACAGATTAGCGTGCTTTCCATCACTTCTGTGATGAACTTCCTCCCTCATTTAAATTATTAAAACCTGCTTGAAAGCAGAGATTAGCTATTAAACATTTATATCACAGTGACTAAAATGCATGCACATTGGTTGCACCATGACCGAGCTTAAAACTCTATACAGCTTCACAATATTTAACTTTCAAGATAGACTAATCAACACACATCTTGTTATTAAATTAAGGTATTCAAGCAGCCGCTAATGACAAGAAAAGTTGATTATCTCTGTACCAAGGACAACTCACGGTATCTGCTCTATCAAATAAAATAAGCCAGGAACTGAGGTTGTCTGGAGTGGCTGAAATCTCTTGTAGTCCACTATCATCCACTGGTTGTTGTAGCTGCAGAAATAAGAATAGGAGACATGGTGACTTAACTCATAAAGATGTATTACAAGATTAAAGAAGCATTAAATAATTTTTGGTTTAATTCCTAATTTGTTGTCTATCATATACTTAGCCATTGTAGCGCATATGTTTTTAAAAAGTACTTCCATCAAGTGACTCACGTCCCGCTGTTGAATTGAGAAAAAGTGTCTGCCCATTCTTTTCCAGTGGAAGAAATTCTGTTGGCAACCATGCTCCTAAAGCCCTCCAGTACGGATGTGAATGTGATGTACTTTAGTAGGTCAGGGTTGGAGTTGCCAATGGTGGTCTCCTGACTTACCTAAAATGTAGGGGGTAAATTTTTACCAATTACTTCTAAACCTGAGATACATTTAGTAATGCTGAGCTGAGGGCAAATGTTGCAAATAACAGGGCTGAGAGTCAAAGAAACATTTCTTTATATTGTTCTCCATAATCAAATAACAGTAATGAAATTTGAAAATCTATATCAATAATATTATTTTTTAAAAATATATTTGGTTTTTTGAGAAGTTGTAAGGAACTGTGGGGCATTCTCACTGCTGTAGTTCTTTGTGTTCAAATAGAACTCTTTGACACATTCATTATTTGTTCCTGCACATGGCTGGTCAACATGTCACATTTTGCCCTTCTTGACTTTCCTCTAACGAACATGTTATCAAATATTTAAGCTCAATGCAGACATTAATTGATGCAGTACTAAGATATCTATAAGACTATATGCTTCTTCATGACATATTTAATCACTACATTATGAAACTTCACTTAACAGGTCATTTGCACTTTTAGGACAGCAGGTTTTTATCTAAAGCTGATAAGAGAGATAACTGGGATCTTATTAGGAACGCAGTTTTTGAGTTTCAACACTGGCCGGCCAACAACACCATTGATTAGAAAGTGGGTTGAAATGACGCAGCAGTTATTGAACCAGCAGTGATGTAAAAATTGGTCTTCCTAATCACTCACCTCATAGTTCATTAAATAGAAATGGCAGACCTTTCTTTCAGCTAATCTAAAGGTTTAAAGACACCACCACCAATACATTATCACTTACCAATCCTGATGAAATGGCATAAAAGTCATCCCCTGAAGTGAGAACTCCTGGGTAGGAGGAGAATGTCATAGTGTTGCCAGGAATGGAGACTAAGGAGTGGAAAAGAATAGCAACAATTTCATCTAAGTTGAAAAACATTTTGTTTTTATCTGGTTTTAAAGTTCTTAAACTGTGAATACCTGATACTGAAGATTAACCATTAAATGTAAACTAACCTTTAGCTAAAAGAAAACTTTACATTTTAAAAGTTTAAAGTTTTTCAACTGTGAATCCTGATATTGAAGATTAACCATTATTAATCCTGATATTGAAGATAATTGTATTCAAATTTCCTATATAATCTGTGCAACTAAAAAAACTAGTTTGATGTTTTCAACTTAAAAGAGGACGGAAAATTGTTTTAACTTTTCAGTTTTTAGTTGTGTAAATACTGAGAGCATAACCTACTATCTGAAGAAGGCAGTAGGTGAAGGTCAAAGTTGTATCTTTTCAGAATTCTTAGCATGGAAGGGAGATCATTCCAAGTGTCTTGTGCCACATAGAGGTCAGAGAAGTCTGGAAGCAATCTCAACAGTGCTGAACAATGACCTCTGCCATGAGCCCACTGATCATCTGGGTCAGGGCCACGGTACTTGGAGAGGGACTGGAATATCTCCCCTAGATCCTCCATATCTCCACCAACTTGGAAGAAGCTGAAAATATAATAAAAAATATGTTTAAAAATCATGACACCCAATTATTAGGATAATGTGGGGAGAGACTGAATTGAAACTGTAAGCAAAAAAAAGAAGCATGTTGCCTACTGAAGTTTGAAAGACGCCATCAAAGCAAAGAATTTGTCAGTCAAAAGCCTTTGTCAGTGAATAGAGAAATATGCCTAGTACAAATTAATGTAAAATAAAATGGAAAATAAATTTGTAGGAAGTACTTATCCATAGGATCTAAGTTTGAGCAACAAGAATAATTTGGAAACTTACTAAAGTCCCAAGACATCAATATCCATATTTATGACACCAGGATAATTGGAGTAACCATCTTGAAGACCAACTGCTTGAAGCAAGAACAATTTAACCTGAAATCAAAATAGTCATTTAAAATTTGCTTCATGTTTTAAGATCAACAAACCTATCTAATAAATAGTGCAATCTAGCAATATAGTTATGGCAACATTTAGGAAACTTCAGAATTATGTGTTTTCATTTGGTGGTATCATTTTTAAAACATTGTCAACTTTATTTCCTTTAGTTGGTTAAAGCTTGATAATGGGCCAAACTTACATGGTACCAATACGGATTGTTTCCAGCATTGTTAATCTGTTGTTGCATCCAGTCTAAATTCTGTTCTAAGAATTTCTTTAGTTGACGACATTGGTTAGACAAAGGCTCTGGACAAAATCCTGCCACAGTGTTTATCCAGTGCATACCGATTAAAGAACTGCACAAAAATTAGAACAAGATATTTTATTACAAAGAGAGCTGTTGTCTCACAGTTGATATTTAGCATCTTAAAGTTATCACTGGCATTATAATTGACTTAAATAAATATGCTCAGATGAAGAAACTGCCCTTATCTTTTTAATACATTCCAGTATTACTATGGATGCAAACAATGTCAAAATAGCATGCTGAACTAGGATGATCTGAGCTGTTGAAAAAAAAAAAGAAAGTACCGTGTGATGTGTCCTTCCACGAATCCTGCTGCGTAAGACTGCTGAAGGTCTGTGTAATTCTTATTGGGTCCAGCTGTTGTTGTAATATCTAGTTTTGCCCATCTATGCAAATAATAATACATATAAATTTATAAACGATTTTGTAAGGATTATTTTTTGCTCAAACAAAATTTCTTTTCTTTTAACAGCATGTTATTTTAACTCTTTCGCTGCGGAATTTTTTCATCCAAAAAATGTACATTTTTTTCGAAGAGCGGAAAAAGAGTGAGAAGTTGGTTTTTTTTTTAAATATTTAAAATATTATTCTTTGGTTTATAAGACTAAACTTAGTATCAAATGAAAGGTAATTGAAAGGACTATATATTTGTACACTAGTTTCTACAGTTTAAAAAAAATAAGTTACACGAAAGAACCATAAAATGTGAAAACATTTTATGCTAAATCATTTTTCCCCTAACCAACGATGTACGCATACCTCATCTTCAATTCTATAACTCAATTCCTCTAAAACTACTACCATCGGAATCATGCGATGTATCTAAATATAAATCATCTTCACTGTCAAAAGAAATATTATAAAACAATTTCAAAGCTTTTTTAACTGTTAATCGTCTAGGAAACTTACCTACTAGAGCCTAGGGTAGCCATAGCAACAGTAAAAAAAAAAAACGCGAAGAAAATTGTCAAAATAATGCTTCAATTGACAATAAATAAGCCTTGGTTTTAATTGTAAACAATGAAGTACCACTCTTCTATGTAAAAGTCTTATTTAAAAATAACTCTTTAAAAAGTTTAACCGAGAAATAGCAAAGAAAGAAACGTGATATTGAAACAACGCACAGCGCATTGGTCCGTGCTTTTGAGAACGGCGGAAGAACGCAGTGTGCGTTGTTCCGCATTGAAAGAGTTAAGTCATTTTATATGTGTTGTAGTCAACATTTATAAAAAATATTGACATTTTATTGGTGAGTCTGAAACAAACAGAAATACATCATGCGCTTGAAACTACAGTATGAGTCATGAGAAGAATAAGTAGGGTATTTAAAGTATTTAGAAATAATTTATTCTGTAGTTACTAGGTTAATTATTTTTTTCTAAATAATAGTTTAACTACAAAGTTTTTTAATGTAATCATTATGTAGTTAATATTATTATGGAGTTTACACGTTAATATATTATAATAATTCAACTAACTTCCTTGACGTTCTTCATTTTTACTATTAAAATCACTAACTTAAACTTGGTCTTAAAAGTTTTTAATTTATTGTATTGTAAGTTAATAAGCATTAAGTAGGCCCATTATTCCTTAGCCTATCAAGTGTTTGAAAGTGTAATGAACATCAACATTAACAATGATTATGACTGATTGTAGTATTTTCAAACTTTAACTTTACTACTAAGCCGGCGTTACTGTTCTTTTACTTTCCTAGTTTAAAACAATTACGACTACGAGTTTACCAACCCTGTTTGGTTAATGCTGTTGTCAAATGAAGCAACTGCAATGAAATCAGGCTGAGAAAAGTTACGAATTTGAAAAGTATTCCCAACATCATCATAGACAACCCATAGCTGAGTTACTGCGGCAGTACAAAGAGAATTCGTATTTACGACAGCGCAAAGCAACATCCATATCAACAGCTTTCTGTGTACCGCCATTTTGAATAAGTCATGTGATTTCATTTTCGTGTCATGTGATATGCTATCTCCTCGAGAATAAAAAAAGTTATAAATACTATTCGTTTTTATTAATAAATCAAATATGTTTTACCATTTTTTTTTTTTTTTTACACACTCATTTTCTCTCTTTTTTTAAAAAAAATGTTAAGTAAATTTGTGCAAAACGTAAGAAACAGTAGTCAGTTCAGTCAAATGTTAAAATAAAAAAAGTTATAAATATTTTTCGTTTTTATTAATAAATAAAATATGTTTTTCTTTTTTTTTTTTTTTTTTTACACACTCATTTTCTCTCTTTTTTTAAAAAAAATGTTAAGTAAATTTGTGCAAAACGTAAGAAACAGTAGTCAGTTCAGTCAAATGTGATTTTCAACCTGGGTTCGGTATTTAATTCACAATTTAAACAGATTGCAGCATCACTAAACAGTACTAAACACGAATGCATTGCACCGAACAAAATAAATATAGCACTAGATTTAGATCTCTAACTCTTGCTTCGACTCCAATATGTATTTCTCTTATATTCCTTCCAATATGTCGTAGTCCTCTCATATTCACTCATTTATCATATCCATGTCCCCTCCCATCTTATAAACAAATGTCAAAATCTATAATTTTTTAAGTATAATTTCCAGCATACTTTCCCGTTTAGTTATGTTCAAATTATGTGAATCTTTTCAAATTGTTAGGGGCGGCCTACATACATGAAACTTCTGAAGGTTTGTCAGTAGCTGCTTTATTTCCTGTGACAATTCTAACAATGACTAACAATCCATGCTATCTGTTGTTTTTTTTTTTTTTAAGACTGATTAACTGCTGTCGTACTATCTAAACTTATAATATAAAGTAATATTTTGCATTATCAACTTGTTTACCATTTTCTGATTTACCTTCTTGCTCAAACTTCGAATAATCTCTTTCTGAATATTTCCCCCCTAAACAATGGTGGTGAATTTAAACTTATGTAAGTTATACACAGAGGCGTAGCGAGGGTGTTTGGCGCCCGGGGACAAGATTCGCGCCCGGGGACAAGATCCATTTTAAAGCGCCCCCTTTTCTTTTTTTCAACTCTCAAACCCATTATTTTTACCAATAATATAAATATCAAAGCACATTTTGGCGCCCCTAACAAGCTTGCGCCCGGGGACACCTGTCCCCCTGCCCGCCCCCCCCCCCCCCGCTACGCCTCTGGTTATACATCTTAAATATTCTTTTATTATTGAATTAAATGTAAATGTAGAATTGCGTGCAACATAGGCGTAGCTAATGTGGGCAGAAGGGAAGGGCAGATGTCCATGCGCGCCGTACTACTTAAGGGCGCCAAAATGTGCTTTGATATTATTTTATTGATGAAAATAAAGGGTTTGAGGGTTGAAAACAAAAAAAGGGAGTCGCTTTAAAATGAATCTTGCCCCCGGGCGCCAAACACTCTAGCTACGCCTCTGGCATGCAGTCTAACCAAATAAACATTTTTTTCTTTCCAGTGTTTTACCTCACACTTTTAAAGGCATTGATTAAGGGGAGCTTTAAAAATATTAGAATGAGAAATAATAAAACTAGTTCGTTAAAACCTGTAGAAACTACTCGAAAGAGCTGGTCATTTTTCCTAGTGCTGCAACTGACTTGACATAATTTTCTCAACACAATTGCCTTGTGTGGCTAAGGCAGATTTACTTCTCTTACTCAGCAAAAACAAAATACCATATTTTGACTTTGATTGCAGTAAACATGGACTTTGTAAAGTCTGCCCTTTAGCCAGTTGGCATGTAGCCTATAATATTGAATAGAAAATCGTCTACCACTTTCATCTTCCGCTTACGCGGACTCAGACAATGTGAGTTCTATCGCATTATGCCGGATCAGAAAACCACGAATCTTATCATTGGTATCTGGCCATTTAGCTGGATTTTTATCAAGGGATAAAATGTAAATTTAGCTTTTCATGTAATTCAACTAAATATATGTAATTCTTTTGAGTGTTTTACCTCATCATTTAATAAAGATCAGCCATAAAAATTAGGATGAGAAGTGACAAAACTAATCCACACTTACCGAGGAACGTCGAATGACGTTTCAATGAGAATCTTTTGAGTCTTAAACCTTGAGTTCGATGGTGATGGGGGCACACGTATTTTCTATAAACCGATAAAATTATGTGTGTGTATGGGGGGGGGGGGGGTTTATACAGAATTAAAATATTTCGTTCATATTTTTTTTCTTACTTAAGGAAAAATTTGTTTTTACTTCCTTGGTTTAAATGATGGTGATGGGGGCACACGTATTTTCTATAAACCGATAAAATTATGTGTGTGTATGGGGAGGGGGGGGGTTTATACAGAATTAAAATATTTCGTTCATATTTGTTTTTATTTTTCCTGCAATTTAGAAAAATGCCGCCTATATCCCCCATAAATGAAGCCGGCATCATCTGTGCGCCATCTTCAGAGGGGACCAAAATCGTCATTTTTCTTACAAAATGTGTTTATTTATTTATAGTTTTGTTGAAGAGGACTCCTAAATCCAGATGTTGCTGTTGCCTTCACGTCTGTGCATCTCTATTCTATATCTATGATTCAAAGAATATGATTGTCATTGTGCCAACCATAGGGAGAATATTATTACACTTCATCTGCAAATTTAGTTATATATGTAAAATGTCGTCATGTTTGATTTTATTTTTTCATAGGCTCTTGTTTGCCTCTAATGAACAAGACATTTGCTTAGTTACGAGAAGAAATTTCATGGGGTTTGTTATATATATATATATTTATATATATATATATATATATATATATATATATATATTTGAACTCAGATTGTTCAGTGGTCCTGTTCACATTTGCAAGTGACATATGGTAATTTAGAAATAGAATTAGAGTCCTCACTTGCATTTCAAATAATAAGAATTTATATAACAAGATGCTCGAACCTTGCACAGAGACTGGTTGAAACGTTTCGTAAATTACCCATGGTTACTAGATACCTCCATGGGTACTTAAGTAAGGGGGTTGGGAAGGGGGGGGGTGTGCTGCGCCTATATGGGTGCGGGAGGCAGGGTAAGGAATAACGGAAACACCCAGAAATTCTGAAGCAAAAAAAAAATTAATAATAAAAAATATGAAGAAAAAAATGCAATAGTAGATGTTTGGTGGTGAAATTTATTAGCGTATTACTTTGACTGGTGCATTTCTTGCTTGCTCCTGGCTAGTCAATTAAACAAAGAAAACTACCATCAGTGAAATATCATCAATTTTATTTATTTTATTACAAACATTTTATTCGGAGTGATGGGGGTAAGAACCTCTGCTTTTGTTAATTAAGTTTGTAAAAAGAGGCCTAATCAACTGTTGTGAAGATTTGATGTCAAAATTATTTACATAACGAAGGGATTTGATTGTTATACTTTATTGTGATACAGAGCATTGTGAACAACAGGATTAAACGACAGCAACAATAAATAGAGGTAAAAAAATACATCCATATTTTTTTTAAAGTATAGTCGCAAATAGATAAAGCTAAGTTCACCAGAGTTTTTTTAATAAACATCCATATCAAAGCTACGAGAAGCAATATAAAGAAGCTATAAACAGAAACAATAAAAAAAACAATAGAAGGAATATATCTATAAAGAACATTTTTTCTCAATAGAACATTTCGATATTGGTCAACTACAGTTTAAAAATTAAAGAAAAATACGCGTCAATTTGCCATTGTTGTTAAATTCTTTCAAGAACAAGATATTTATAAATTACGATGCAAAAGTTTGAGATTGTATTCACCCAGGGCCAGTGATCAGACCCGTTTGTATCTGAAGAAATATATAAAATAAGGACGCGCAGTTCTTGTCATTGTACAGTTTCATGAACTTCGTGGATACTTTAAGAAATGTGCAAGTATAACCCCATTGGTGTGGGCCTACTCGTTGAGTGGACCTCGTACACAACAGCGACCTATTATAAGAGACAAGCTTCCATTACAATGTAATTTTATTGGGGGGGGGGGTAGGGGGGGGAATGGGTGGGATGGTTATGTTCATTTAATCATCGCTTAATTTTAAGGAAAACATCAATTTATCTTTATGAAGAAGAAAAAATAATATAGTCTATAGTCTATGACATTTTTGTTGGGCCTACTCGTTGAGTGGACCTCGTACACAACAGCGACCTATTATAAGAGACAAGCTTCCATTACAATGTAATTTTATTGGGGGGGGGGGTAGGGGGGTGAATGGGTGGGATGGTTATGTTCATTTAATCATCGCTTAATTTTAAAGAAAACATCAATTTATCTTTATGAAGAAGAAAAAATAATATAGTCTATAGTCTATGACATTTTTGACGTTATCTATTATGTGTGGGCGTGTTTTTGGTGGTGGTGGGGGTGGTAGGGGATTGTGGGGATGGTGGGGGATGGCGGAGGTGGTGGGGGTGGGTTTGCAGAGTTAACATTTCTTACTAAACCTTTTTCCTAACTGTAAGTGTTGGATCACACGCTGATGGTATTTTAAACTCCAGCACATCATATACTAATCTGCCCTGACGTTGTTCCGACGTGTGCGTCATACTTGCGTATTTTCCCCTGTCTCAGTGAGTAGAAAAAAGAAACGATGGTACTAGTGGTATTTAGTGGTATTTTAGTGATATTTTATTGGTTGATTCAGTGGTATATTCAGTGGTATCCTGGTGGAGTACTTGGATAACATTTAATCGAATGTTAACAACCAACCCCCAAGGTGTTATAATGTGAACATGTCCCACTCATTAATTTAAAGACACTCCAACATACCCAGCGGCGGTCACTAGTATTGTAATGTCTTGTGATATCCCTAATTACTCGGGTCAAAACAACAACTTTTCAAAGGTAATGGCACAATATAAGTAAGATGATCGCACAAAGTTAAGAAACTGATTTTCAAATAAGAGTCATCTATGAAAAATGTGAATCATTTATTATATTTTTTTATAAAAAAAAAATTTAATTAACATTATGAATGAAAGTTTATAACTCTGACTTGGACATGAGTGTGATAC